GCACGCAGCCTCTCTCCTGCTCTTGCTCTCCTCTCTCTCTCTCTCTCTCGTCCCCTCTCGTCCTCTGTCGTCCTCTGCCGCAGTCGTCTCGCTCGAGGCCTCTCAGAAGCCAAGGCTTTGGGGGGCCCAACCCACCAACACCAGAATGCAGAGGTGGGGCGGGGCCCAGCCGAGCTTGCTCGGCAGGCTCCCACAGCGGAGCGCGCGCGCTTGCCGCACAGCGGTCGGCGCGCGGTGCCATCCACAACCCCCCCCTTGGGGTGCAGGGCCCAGCGGCCGTGGCGAGACCACCAGGCCGCGGAGCTCGCGCCCGGCGGAGCAGCCCGCCAGGCGACCTCGACCAGGATGGAAGAAGCTGTCATCGTCATCCGCAGCAGCGCCATCGCTTGCAGTGACCCGAGAGGTCCGGCCGCGCCCAGAGCGCCAGCCTTGCGTGAGGGCGGCCTGCAGGCCCCGCCCCGCCCGGGTCGCGGGGCGGAGCGTGCCAGACGAAACGGAGCTGAGAATGGCTGGGACCCTACAAAAGCCAAAATAATGGCCCGAGAACCTCGATCCTCCGGTCTGGACCCTCGAACCCAACGCGGCGTCGGCGACGACGACGGCAGCGGCAACACCTGGCATCCGCCGACATGTTTTTCCCAATCCGCGGCCCAAAAATCCCGACCGCTGCCCTGGGGGGCAGTTTTTCGTCCCGGATTCCTGGAGCCCGAGGTCCGAGGCCGGCCTGGCGAAGGACCCAACCATATGCAATTGCGAGGGCCGCCGTTGTGAAATATCGTTTTCGGTGGAACTCCACATGCGACCACGAAACGTGTGATGGGTGTGCCGAAATGGGTGGCGGGGCATGTGGGGCCACACGAAACATGTGAAGGGTATGCCGACATGGGTGGCGAGGACGCATGCGGCCGCAGCCACTGGGGCCTTTGGCGGAGCTCAGCATGGGGACGCGAAGCGTGTGAAAAGTGTGCCGAAATGGGCGGCGGGGACGCATGCGGTCGCAGCCACCGAGGCTTGAGGTAGAGCTCCCGATGGAGCCACGAAACGTGTGAAGGGTTCACCGAAATGAATGTGGCGGACTCACGTAGCCGCAGCAACTGGGGCCTCAGGTGGAGCTGGTGGAGCTCCCTATGGGGCCTCGAAACACGTGAGGGGTGTGCCGAAAGGAATGTGGTGGACGCATGCGGCCGCAGCCACTGGGGCCATAGGTGGAGCTCCCTGTGGGGCCAACAAACGTGGGAGGGGTTCGCCGGAATCGGTGTGCTGACGACTGTGATGATGACGATGATGGTGATGACTAGTGATGACACGCGGAGAGCAGAGGCAGGGATGAGAGGAGGGAGGGGCGAGGAGGAGCAGGAGGTGGAGGAGGAGGGGGAGCAGCAGGAGGAGGAGGAGGAGGAGGAGGAGCAGCAGCAGCAGGAGGAGAGCCATGACGCGACTTGGGAGGAGAAGAGAGAGAGAAGTCCCGACGCCTAGCAGTCCAGCTGCGAGCGCAAGGGGGTGAGCTCGCGGCAAGCCTGACACATAATGGCCTGGGCGCGGAGACGTGCAGCGAATGACAACCTGGCGAATCAGGGGCCCGAACAGCCCGAGGAGCACGGGCAGTTGAATACAGCCACGATCCCGTCAATGGCGATGGCCATCGACCACAAGCCCTCAATACCTTCAGACAGATCAACAGCATATAATGTGAAGGACTGGAGACTGTAATGGGTAATGGCCCCAATCGGGCGGTAGTTTAGGCACTGCTGGCCGAACTAGAGGAAGCATGCACGGGCAACTCATCTAATGGGGGATCCCACTACCGCCTACAAGCACAACAACCGAATCCCACCAGCCCTTTAGGGCGTAGGTGGTTTAGGGTGTTTCCTCTTCCACCCCCTTCTTCCCCTTCGGGGAGGGGTTTACCCCTCCCCCGACCCCCTCCCCTGGACCTGGACGGGGCGTTTCGCGAGCGGTCGGGGCGTCCAAAACGGCCTCGGCGAGGAAGCCTAAATCATTGGTTTTACTATGGTTTTGGCCCCATTTTGGCCTCTTGGGGGGGCGACGCTAATTAAGGAACCCCCCTTCGTTGATCGATCTCCTCCGAAATGGCCCCAAGAGCGCTCCCAAGGCTCCCAAGGGTGCCCCAAGAGGGCCGCAAGAGGTGGCCAGGAGGCCCCAACAGGCCCACAAGAGGACCCCAGGATGCCCCCAAGAGGCTCCCAAGAGACCCCCGAGAGGCCCCAAGAGGCCCCCCAGAGGCACCCAAGACGCTCTAAGAGGCTTCGGCGAGAATGCCAAAATCCTTGACTTCACTAAGGTTTTGGCCACAGGGGGGAGGCACTGCTTAAGATGCCTCCACGAGCGTTTGGGAAAGCCCAAGATGACCTTCAAAATGGCTCAAGATGGCCCCAAGACCGCTCCAAGACGGCTCCAAGTGGCCAAAGAGCTCCCCCAGGAGGCCCCCAAGGGGCCAAAATCCTTCCAATACCTTTTCGCTTCCGATGGCCATCCGAGGCCTCAAGATGGCTCAAGATGGCCCAAGAGGGCTCCAAGAGCGCTCCCAAGGCTCCCAAGAGCGTTTCAGGAGGGCCCCAAGAGGCGCCCAGGAGGCCCCAGGAGGTCCCAACAGGCGCCCAAGAGGCTTCCAAGAGGCTCCCAAGAGACCCCCAAGAGGCCCCAAGAAGCTCTCCGAGACACCCAAGGTGCTCTCAGAAGCGTCCGGGATCGCCAAGAGGCCCCCAAAACGCTCCAAGAGGCCTTCACTGACGGACCCTTCATCTGTGTGCTGCCCACTTCCCTGATCGAGGCAATTCCTCTGGGCATCGTTTCTGGATGGGCTGGTGGGGTTACTTTTTTAGTCAGCGGCCGCGGGCGAGCGCGCCATCGGCGAGTCAGGTCCAAGCGGGCTACGCAGAGACTAATTAGGCAGAGGCGACGCGCAAGGCAACAGCTACGCGCCGGCCGAGGCCTCGCGCAGCGGCCCAGCGGCAGGTGGATGGCTGGAGGGACTGAAACTGAGCGGAACTGCCAGCGTGCAAAGACGCAAGTCCGTCGGAGGCGCCAAACGTCGGGATATAAACGACGGCCAGGGACAACTCCGAGAGAGAATGCATGAGACCGAACCTCAAGCGACTGCGTGGGCACCAGGGTGGCCGTGGCCAACGAACCGCCAGTCGAGGTAGGAATGAGAAATGCCAAAGGCGAGGCCCCGGACGTCGGCGTGAGCGCGAGAACCATGGTAATCCGCAGGACCGTCGGCCAAAGAATTGACGCCAGGAGGCGAGCGCATTGGCGTTGGTGGGGTTACGCTTTTGGTCGCGGCCGCAAGCGAAGAGCGCAGGCGGCGAGCAGGGTGTCCGGGCCGACGGGCAAGCCTAATTAGCTACAGGGCGCGACAAGCAACAGAGCGCAGCACGAGCCGGTCGGGCCAGCTCACAAACGCGCCAGCTGGGGCAGCGGCAGCGGGGGGCTGGCTGGCTGAACTGGAACGCCCTGGGAAGCTCAAGCAACGTGCAGCCCTGCGGCAAAATGCCAGGGAATTCTGTGTTACGCGCTGTGGCGGCCAGACGTAGTAAACGATGGGCCGTCGCCAGTGGGGCGCCAAGCCCAAGCTGCGCCAACGGCGTGTGTTGCCGGCTGAGCTGCTCCGCCGAAAAAGCGCCGAATACCAAGCTGATGGTGGGGTGGGCCTGGAGGGCGGCCGAAACTGCGAAGGCTGAACCACTCGGAGCTGGCTGTACCTCCAGGGGCCGTGCGCGGCGTGAGGCCAAGCTGGTGGGGAAGAACATCGCCAGCAAGGTGGGGCGTCCAGGGTGGAGCTGCGCTGTCGCAGCCGCGTGGTGCACGCCGAAGGCAACCATGGGACGGCCTTATCCGCCGCGTCCGCCATTCCCCGCGGGGATCCAGGGTCACCGTCGAATCCGCCATACCACGTGGGCTTCCAGGGTCGCAGCTAACCGCCGCTGAAGGTGAGGTAACATTGTTACTGACAGCGGGGGTCCAGGGCAGCCCTGGGGAGTGGGGGCGAGAGCCATCGAGACCAGCCGGCACGCCTGGCGGCAGCCCGGCCAGAAGGAGACCCGGAGGGGGGGGCGGTGGGGAGACGCGTCCGACCACCCACGCGGAGGGGCACCACGGGGGCGCCCTGCGAGGGAAGCGCAGGGAAACGGCAGCCCCGAGGACCAGGCGGGGGACGCGCCCAGGGCCCGGCCCGAGAGGGACCCGAGGAGAGAGGCGGCGGGGACGAAAATCACCGCCCCTCGAACGGGCCCCAGGTGCACCTGGCCAGGGGACACGGCCGCCATTTCCCGAGGATCATCCAGGGTCGCAGCTAACCGCCGCTGAAGTGCAAGTAGTACTGAATGGTAGGTCTTTCGACCGATGTTGGTGTGGTCCAAAGTGGGCAGCCTGCCACGCTGAAGGCTGGGCTGCCAACGCGGAGGCAGGAACCTCCGTGGGGACGGTGTGTGTTGGTTCATCCAGGGTCGCAGCTAACCGCCGCTGATGTTCTGGCGCCTGCGGTGTGACAAAACTGAGACCTAGCTAGGTCAAGCCCGCGGCCAGGCAGGAGGGGGGATGCGGGGGCCCACCTCCCGCCCAGGGCCCGCGAGCCGGCTGTCGTCATCGGACAGCAAAGGTGGGGTTACGCGAAGCGTCTAGAATTTACAACTCTGACGTCCCTGGCGGCACCTCCGAGACGTGGCCCAGGCGTTGACTTCAGTCTTAAGAACCGAGGAGGCTATTCAAGGTCCAAGCTTCGAAGGAGGAGGAGGAGGAGGAGGAGGGGGAGGACGAGGAGGAGGACGAGGAGGAGGAGGAGGAGGAGGAGGAGAAGGAACGCCGGGACTCTCTTGAAAACGAAGACACAGCTGCACAGGATGGTTGGGAAAAAACACGGGTTGAAAAAGTCAGATCGCCGGAAATCTGCGACGGCGGCGACGGCGGCGGCCACGACGATGCCAGAGGCGACGAAGGGCGACGGCAACGACGGCGGCGACGGTGGCAGCGGCGCCCGCCTGGGCGCGTGGCCGCCGTGGCCGGCGGGGCCCGGGCTACGGGCGCCCCGCAGGTCCTCGATGCCCCGCTCGAGCTCCTGCCGCACCCGCAGGGGGCCACCGCAGTATCGCCGCCGTCGCCGCCGCCCGTGGTGCGGAGCTCGAGGCCGAGGCGCTGCTTTGCACGGGGGGGAGATCAACGGGGGGGCGAAGAAGCGCACACCCTTCGTGCCCGCTTTGGGCTCCAGAGGGCCCCAGCAGGCCCCTTGAGGGCCCCCGAAGTGCACGAAGGGCGCACCTTTCTTCACCCCCCCCACATGTGGCCGACTCCGGAAACCCTGAACCCAAAAAGGCTGCCGTCTCTTTTGGGGGACGCATCCTTCACTTCCGCCGGCTTCCACCGGCCCTCCGCAGGGTTCTGCTGGCGGAGGCGGCCTCGTTCTGCATTGGTACGCCTTGGCATGCTTTGGCATGCTGTGGCATGCGTTGGCATAAGTGCGAATGCGTTGGCATGCTTCGGCATGCATTGGCATGCAGTTGCTTGCAAAGGCACACCTTGGCATGCCTCGGCTTGCCTCCGCCGACCTTCCGCCGACCTTCTGCCGCCCTTCCGCCGAGGAAGAGGTGCCAACGCATCCCGGAGCGCCCGAGGCTGCTCGCACCTCGTGGGAGAGCCTGCCTTCTGGAAGAGGCTCGGAGGCGAGGCCCTCGCTGGAAGGCCTCGCGTGCGGTCGGACCCGGGACCGAAGCACACCCCTCGAGAACAGGAGGCCCTCCGCTGGCCAAAACACCCCAAGCCATGAGATCACTAGAGGGTACCCTCCCTCGGGATGCACTTTTTGGTCGGCGGGGCGAGAGCGAACCTCTTCCGCTAAAAGCTAGGCGGGCTACGCGCAGCTTTAACTAAGAAGACAGGGCACAGGAAGGCGGGGCCTCAGGCGGCCGGAGCAGGTGGAGCCCGGGGTGCAGGCGGTGCCGAAGAGCTTGCACAGGAGAAGGTACGCCGCGGACGAGGGCCGGGGGCGAAGACCCGAAAGGTGGTGGAGATGGTGTGGCCGTCAGCGGCACGTCGCGAACACCAGCCTCGCCCTCGGGATGCACGAGAACATCCAGCAAGCGCGGAGAACACTGGGGCGCCCTCCCAAACCGACCTCGACCCTGCACCTCGCTCCGACCGCACCGCCCGCGCAGAGGGAGGCACCGCCGGCGCCGCGGCAGCCCCCGCGGCGAGCCCTGCGCCCGAGGCGGAGCTCGCCCTCGAGGCCGCGGCGCCCTCCCCCCAAAAGACGCAGGGCCGGGCGTCGGAACAAACTTTTTTGATTCGCGGGTCGAGAGCGCACCTCTTCTGGTCGAAGCTAAGCGGGCCGCGCGAAGCTTGAATTAACCAGAGATGGGGAAGGAAAAGGGGGGCGCAGTTGGGCGTCGGAACAAACGGCGTGGCGACGCACGTTCACGCAAGAGCCTCGAGGGCGAGGCCCCTGCTGCAGCGCCTCACGCCGCGCCCCCCACGAGTCCAGGTTTACTTGCTTAGAAGAATGGCCCCTGGACCAATCCACTGGTGTTTTTCGGCTAGAGTTGCGAAGGGGCGCAGCCGCGGCCCTGAAGCCCCGCATAGGCCCACGGAAGCGCGATGACGTCGCAAAAGATCCCCGAGCTTCGCCTCCTGATTTGTCATCGACGCGGGGCGAGAGCGAGGTGCACCTGGGCGTCGAAGGCCTTCTCGATCCCCCTCCTCCATCCCTCCCCAAAGTGAATGCCACATCGGACTGTCCGCGAATGGCCCATGCCAGCAAGCTACACAGAATCAATCAAGCGACGAGTCGGGGCATCGAAGGCCTTTTTGATTCCCCTCCCCCATCCCTCCCCAAGACGGACGCCACATCGAAATGTCCGCGAAGGGCCGATGCCAGCAAGCTGCACAGAAACACTCAAGCGACGAGCATGGGGGAGGATCACGGAGGCAGGGAGCTGAAGGAGGACCGAGAAATCTGGATCAGCGAAATCGTCGCCCCAGGGGGCACGGGTGGGAAGATCTGGCCAGCCCTGGAACAGAAGCGCCTTCCCCTTGAGCGCTCGCGGTCGTCGGGGCCGTTCCAAGTGGCCGAAGTGGCGGGCCAGAGAAGCCTCAGGGCCCTTGGGGCCCCCTTGGGATGGGCCAGAGCGAGCCTCGGGGACCCCCAAGGCCGTCCAGATTCTATCGAATGGCCTTCGGCCCATCCCGCCACCGCGCCTAGGTTGTGGGTGCGAGGCCTCTTGGATGTCCGCTGGGATATCTTGGGAGGCTCCTCGGGGGCTTCTTTGAAGCACTATGCAAAACATCCCGTCCCGCTCACTCCAGGTCGGCATCTGGATCCCATAGGCGCCATCTTTGGCTGCATCGAACGATGGGGGGTGTGATCGCAGTAGAATGGAGAGCCCCCCACCAGAAATCCGGTTCCGATTTGTCGCGCTCGTGTCGCGCGTGCGGGCGAAGCGAAGCTGCATGGGCGCACGAGAGGAATGATCCAGCCGTCGCTAGGGCGATCCAGATGCAATAGGCCGCCCCTCCGTCCCCGGCGGGCGCGCGGCGCCCGCCGCGGTGTCCCGTTGGTGTCCCGTTGGTGTCCCGCTGGTGTCCTGTGGTGCCCCGTCCCGTTGGCGTCCGATGCAACCACCACAATCAACAAACATGCATCACAGCGCAGTGGCGGCGGCACTGATTTGGCCCGATGGTGCCACGATGGTGTCCTACTTAACGCCCTTCACTGTGAGATCCCTAATGGGATCGATCGCTGAATCCATTGGTACTAATAGTGGCCGTGAGGTCGATGGTAAGTAGGACCGATCGAGTGAGATCGAAAGCGGGGGCGATAGTGGCATTACATCGCAGCGCAGCATCGTCATCACGCGTCGTCGTTAACTCGAGAGCGCGTCACCAGCACCGCCATCATCACACCCATTGCATTTGCCAGCAGTTGCATGTTTCCCCCCGACCTCCCAACCGCCTGGTCACCCGAAGGGTGGTCGCATAGGCATCCAGTCTGTGAAGATTTGCAGCGCGGACTTCTCAGCGAGAGATGTAGCCAAGATCAGTCGGAGACAATCAGGGGTCCACGTGCTCCCGCACGTTTCCTGCGCCAAGGCGCAATTGGCCAAATAATCAGCACCTGCATTCCATTCCCTGGGCATCCAGTCGACTGGATCCATGTAGCCAGCCTTGTAGGACCACCCTTTGGTGCACAGATCGGCCAGCCTATTGCGGATGCGCCGAACGCACGGGTCGTACATTGGATTGTTGGCCGCCAGTCCAGAGTTCTCCAAACCCGCGACACACTGCTTCTCGACCACAAACTCCAGGTTCACCAGGGCTGCCAAACAACCTGTCGCGAATTATCCTCAAGGGCATCGGGACGTCGTCCAGATTGTAATTTTCCGTCGGATTGGCCTCACAGCCTTCCCCATGGGCTTCCCAATTTAAACAGGAGGCTGGCGGCGGCGGACGCCCCAGCATCTTGCAAGCTTGGATCACGAACTCTTTCCGAGCCCGGGCCCTATCTGATCGCGAAGCACAACCCATGGTTTTAACAATAAGCTCGTCCGCATGCGTGCGATATCCACCCTGGGCATATGTCATCTGTTCATTTTTTCGCGTGCGTCCATTCGTCAGAACTCCGAAATGTTTTTCACCATCTTGTATCCCGTTCTCGCCGGATCGTGCCAAGGAGTGTCCCGTAGCCTCGCTCGTGCCACACAGACGAATGACATCGTTCCAAAATCACAGCATGGATTGGTGTGGAACTGCAAGGTTGGTACCACTTTTCGAGCTTACGGGTGGTTCCTTGATTGCATTGCGTCCTGCTCCCACCAGGTCTGGCAGGTCGCATGCGAAACACTCAACGGAACTGTCGTCGCTCCCACCTCACCTTATCCACTAGCAGCGCCCAGTTCCAGTGTACAGATTGGCAGAGAAACAGAGCAGTCACGCGAGGACCGGCCGCCCACGCGCGCAGCTTCAATCTGACAGGGGTTTTGCCGAGTCAATGCCGAAGTAATGTGAGAATCGACTCGTCACCCTTCGCGGTGCGATATTATGATGCCTCGTCAGATATCTGGTTCTCGACGTCTTCCTGTTCTCAGAACTTTCGCCATCATCAAGTTGTCCGTCTTCGCCACTCCAGGGATGTTCAGACTCAACCTTGATGAAGCCAGTTCGCGAGCAGTAGCCAAAACGTTTTGAGGCGACGCCCCGGCCTCCCTTAGCACTCGCGTTGTTTTCACATGCTCTTCCGAATCGAAGGCAGTGCGAATATCTTGGGCCCTCAGAACAAAATTTTACCCCACGTCAGAGCGAAGCACGACACCTTAAATGATGAACCAAAGCAGCCCTCGACTGATAAACCCTTCTTGTACCCAAAACGTGTAGCCATATGCCACGGCCGCATCAAAGGCGTCATTGCGCTGTACACTGTCGCAAGATACTGTTTGCACAGCTGGCCTAGCATGCCTAACCAGCAGTACCGTGAAAGGAACTGATCGATTGCTGTTCTTCCAGACTGCCAAGCGGTTCAAAGTTGATTCAAGTGTCGATGTCAGACAACTTCCTCTCGAGACCCTTGATGCGTTCAATGATAAGTTCTTGGGTCTTCACCTTCATATAGTGCGGCATGCGGCGCCCTACGATGCCAGGCGCATGATCTCGTCCACGCTTGGAGTAGTCCCGGATGAGCATCAATTGCTGCATGAAGTCTTCCACTGATGGCAAGCCCAAACTCAAGTCCCACGAGCTCTCTGGGCGTAGGTGGTCTAACGAACTCTTGTCTTCTTTCTGCACAACCCCCTCCTTCCCCTGCTCGGGGGAGGGGTTTATCAATGTTCCCTCTTGATAAACGCCCCCTCCCCCACCCGGCCGGCAGCCAACCTTGAACCGTGAGGGCCCCCCACCACCATCCCTGTCAACAAAACAATACAAAACGCACTCTGCCTCCAAATTCGGAGCATGCGCAACCAACCCGATCCCCACCCCCCACCATCCCTGTCAAAAAAACAATACAGAATACACTTTGGGGCAAAGTCTGGAGTCATGTTCGTGAGGCCCGCGGGCAGTTTGCATTGTTTTTCGACACGGACGGCAGGGGTGTCAGCATATTGCCTGCTGCGCGCGGGGTGACCATCAGTGACAAACACACAATACAAAATGCACCTCGCGGCTAAATGTGGATCTCCTCTCCTCCTCCTCCTCCTCCTCCTCCTCCTCCTCCTCCTCCTCCTCCTCCTCCTCCTCCTCCTCCTCCTCCTCCTCCTCCTCCTCCTCCTCCTCCTCCTCCTCCTCCTCCCTCCTCCTCCTATTCCCTCCTCCTGCCGAGCGCGGGGCGACGCGCGGGGCCGAGCGCCTGCCGCCTCGCCTCCAGGCGCTGGGCGCGCTCCAGGCCGTCCCTGCGGGGGGCGCGCGCCGGGGCTGCCGAGGAGCGCGAGGCCCCGCCCAGGAGGGAGGGGGGGGAGCACGGGGAGGCAGGGAGGGAGAGTGAACGAGGAGGAGGAGGAGGAGGAGGAGGAGGAGGCAGGAGCAGGAGCAGGAGCAGGAGCAGGAGCAGGAGCAGGAGCAGGAGCAGGAGGAGGAGGAGGAGGAGGCAGGAGGCAGGAGGAACTCAGGGCGCTGTCTCGTCAAGACGAGGGCCCCACACCACAGGACGGTTGGGAGAAAACTCGAGGGAAAAAAGCCGGTCGAAGCACGAAAGACACAACGAATACATTCGGCCCGCCAGAGATGTGGAAGCCTCCCCTAGAGGCCTCCCTGACGGGGTCGGAGCTCATGGGGTCGGAGGATCTCGCCGCACCGCCGATGCATCGACGACGTCGGCGATGCAGCGGCGACGTGCGCGCGGAGAAGATTGGGCTCCACGCCGGGCCGCATCGCCGATGCAGCGAGAGTGCATCCGCGATGCGGCGAGCTCTTGCGGCCCCGTCTGCGCCGGCCCCACTTCGGAGGCCTGCAACACTGCGCGAAACTGCAACCACGTCTTGCCGACCACCCCTCGCCCCCAAGTGTCAGTGCTCAGCTGCGCTGGCGGCCCGCTCCGCGGAGACGCCGACGAAACGCTGCGCGCGCGCGGCGCCGTCCGCAAACGACGACGAGAAGCTCTGCGCGCGCGGGGCCGGCCCGCGGACGCCGACGAGAATGTCGAAGCCATCTGCTTCGACATCAGCGCTGACATTCGGGGGTCAGGGGGGGCCGACGCGGCGCAGGCAGAACTTGCGCTGAGTTTTGCGCAGGGACGTGTGGTCGGGAGCGGCCAAGAGGGGGGTGTCCAAAAGGGAGGGGTGCAAATCATGACCCGCGGCATGTGCGCGGCCCAGCGGGGGGGCCAGGGACGTAATGACATAAGAAGAGGCGCCATGAAATCTGGGGAAGTATCATGGCCCCCGCATGATATCCACCCCCACCTAATCATCACCCCCCTCTTTTCCGCACCCGATGTGGGACGTACCAAGGACATGCCGGTACTGTGTGTCCCTCCTCGGAGGCGTGCGTCCGACGCGAAGACACGGCATAACCACCTTGCAGTATGTGGGTTCCCGAGCGGTGTGACCAGAAAGCGCCCGCCGCGAGGCACACGCCAGAAGATTCGTCGGTGCGCACGTCGCCCCTAGGGGGGGCGGGGGGCGACGCTCACAGAATGAGCAGTAGTATGTTCCAGTGGCGCCGAGGGGGGGGGCAGAGCGAGGGCTGGGGTCACCGCGTGCTGCCTCCAGAGCCGCCCAAGGCCATCCAAGGCTTGATCACGCCTGGGCATCCTCTGGGCCGCCTTCCGAGCCACGCCCGGCCGTGGCGACGAGGGCCGCGTCCGAAAGCCCAGAAGAGGAGGAGGAGGACGAAGAGGAGGAGCACGAGGAGCACGAGGAGGCGGAAGTGAGGAGGAGGAGGAGGAGGAGGAGGAGGAGGAGGAGAAAGAGGGAGGGAGGGAGAGAGGGAGGGAGGGAGGCACGAGGACGAGGAGCAGGAGCAGGAGGAGGAGGAGGAGAAAGAGGGAGGGAGGGAAAGAGGGAGGGAGGGAGGCACGAGGACGAGGAGCAGGAGCAGGAGGAGGAGGAGGAGGAGGAGGATCCCCATCGCACCGCTCTGGGGCCCCCAGCACTCGGGGCGAGGCGGGGGCCTCCCGAAAGGGGGGGGGGCTCCTGTAGAGCAGCTCGGCCCGGGCGTGCTCTGCGCCCGGCGGCGCGGCGGCCCGCGCCCCGCCGGCGTGCACGGACGAGTCGAGCATGCGCCGCGCCTCGTC